ACAAGGATGCATTCTCAACAAAAACAAGTGGCCAACTGTAAAGGAGTAGTGGTTTAAATCAGTGCAGATGCAGGAATGTTAAAGAGATTGAATGCCAACTACTGAAATTTATGAGTGACTCACCCGACGTACTGAAGGTCAAATCTGATTGGCAGCTGGAAGTCCAGCTGGATCGTGGCACACTGGTGCTGTCTGCCAATAGCATCTTTGATCAGGATGTCAATCTGATGAAACATGAAGGCGTGCGTTATTACCGGGCTTCACTTTTCCCTTCCAGTTTAGCGCTCTGAGACAAAGTACCTTTTTGTGCACTGAAGCATTAGAAATGGGTTTCTGAGAGAAGCTGATTAGCTGCTTAGATTGTGGTTTAAAAATCCTGGATACACGTTTCTCTGTTTCAACGAGCAGTTAAGCTCAACCTGACTTCACCCATCGCCTCCTCTCAGTGCTTCCACATGAGCACGCTGACGTTTATCTGAGGCCGACTTCTTCTTGGAAAGATAAATTAAGTCTCAAACACCCCCCTCAAAAAAAGCAAAGGTCATTGCCGCACTGTCGTTTCAATTTTATTTAAAAATAAACAAAAACAAACAAACAAAAGCACACGCACACAAAACCTCTAAATATTCTGTGAACTACAATAATTCGTGTCTGTAGTTTCTCTGTGCAGAGCCGAAGCAGAACAAAGATGTCTTAATCTGGGTTGCAACATAAATAAATCCCCTTTAGAGGAATTAAAATCATTAAATCTAATTTTATTATTGTGAAAACTTGAGAAATGCTCTTGTTTGTTGTTCTCCCAAGATTTCAGAGATAATGAAGAGAAAATGTAAGCTTGGCTCTGTATCAAATGGAAAAATGATCTACCTGCCAGCACCTCTAAGCTGATGAACACATTGTTACAGGCTTGTGAGAAACAAAGGTTTCACTGGACTACTGTGGAAAAAACTGAGTGCAGCCCAGTATTCAGTAGCTGGTAGAGCAACAACTGTAGAGTCCTAGCCCACAAGCCCAAATCATCACCCCTCCACCACCGAGCTTGACAGCTGCTATGAGGCGTTTGTGCTGATATGCTGCGTTCGGTATTTTGCAAATGTGCTGCCGAGCATTATGACCAAACATCTCCACTTTGGATTCTTCTGTCTAAAGGACATTGTTACAGAGGTCTCTGGTTTATTCAGAACTTTGCAAATCTAAGCATTGTTTTTTGTTCTTTTTAGATAGAAGAGGCTTTCTAAACAAGTCATACTTGTTCAGTCTTTTTATAACTGTACTGTCACAACTTTTAACATGCTAACTGAGGACCGTAGAGTCTGAGATGTAGACCTTGGGTTTTTCTGAACATTGCATGGACTGACCCTGGGGTGAATTTCCTGGGACGTTCACTCCTATTGTGGCCAGACCAGCCAACTGTCAGAACTTCTGCTTTAAAAGAAGTGGCAACACTTTCTGATGATCAGTCAGTCAAGTGCATTTGATTAGCAACAACCCAGCTGTTAGACTTAGTTTTTAGTTGGACTGCATTAGAGTCATGTTTTTTTCCAGTTTGAGGATACAAGTCAGGCAGTTAAGACTTGGAAGTTGCTATGCCTGATAAAGAATTTTCCCACATGGAGACCACCCTAAAACCATTTCTTGGCTTGCTTTTGAGGTGCTGGTAGCTGTCCCAAAAGTAGCTGCTTCCACCATTTCTGAGTCAATATGCTAAGCTAATCAGCTCTCCTGGTAAATCTTTAATAGTGCTTCAACATAAAAAAACCCCCCAAACAAACAAAAAGAACCAAAACAAAACAAAACACACATTCCCTTAAAGTTTTTTACATTAAGGAGGAACAGAGTGACTAAACTGATGTCACGATGCTTTGGTGTAAACAAACAGTGATAAACAACATTTACTCCTGAGTCCATTAAGTGCAAGTCTTCCTTCTCACTGACCTTTGGTCCGTAGAACGCTCCGTCTCCTGGGTTTAATTCCCAGCGTTCACCAAACTGCTGCAGACTCCTCTCTAACTGCTTCTCACACACACACACACACACACACACACACACACACACACACACACACACACACACA